CCCCCCGCCCCCCATCCTGAGCTGTATGAGTGGAAAAAGGCTCCATATGCAGTTTTTTTAATGTTCTAGCACAATTTGCTCTCATGTCAGCAGGACTGAATGGCAACATTCATATGGCTTAATAAGAACTTTGCATAGTTCAGGACATACAGTCAGGGATAAATGTTCCTGAAAGTTGTTGTTCTGTTGTCCACCTAGTACTGTATTCAGATGGAATACATTTCCTGCTCCCCCCCTGCCCCCGCTTATTAAAAATTAAAAAGTAGGTGTGGGACATTTCACAAGTGGTTTGTCTCCATATGAGTATCTACATAACTTTGGACAGGCAAAAACTAAAGGGCAAGAACTGTATATGTGAGAAAACACAGCTTGGTCTTATGTCAGATTCAGCTACCCTTAGCTTGAACTATTCACTGTTTTCTGACATGTTAGAGTAGTCTCCAAAGCATTAACTAATCCTTTAGGAAAATTTCTAGGTAGCCTCCCAGTATGTACTTGTGGGAGCTCTACAGAGCTCTAGCGCACTGTGCTGGGAGCCTCTTTGACTGAGGGAAGTACCTACTCACTCCTGTTGAGAGCAGCAGAAAAAGCCGAAACAGAATAAAACCAACATCCAGGACAGGGTTGGTTTTGGGTTTGTTTTGGTTTTCTACTTGAACACTTTGGTTTAGAGTTTGTTTCTCTGGTGAATGTGAAACAAAGTCATAGCCAGAAGTTTATCTCAGAATGAAATTGTTTTTCTTGAGGGAGGGTCTGTCCAGTCCTGTTCACTATTGATAAGTTGCTTTTCTTCTTGCCATGCCTGTATCCAGGAATTTATTACCTCTTTCATTGCCTTGTGAGGTATGTGTTTGCTTTTTGATTCTGTTTCCCCATCTTTCTGTATGCTTATTTCTTCAACACTAATGAGAGTTTTTTATTTCATGAGGCTATTTTAGTACTTGGAAGATCTTAACCTCTAGCTGTCCTTCCCTCCTTCCCTCTACACCCTCTTTTCCCCACAGGCCTTTTAGCATGACTTCCAGAAGTGTTTCCTTTTGTTTTCGTAGTTTTCACACCGCTTTCATGCTGTGTGCTAATTTGTTAGGTCACTGGGGCGTTCTGTGATCTTATTTCAGCTCTGGGCATCTTCATCCTTATTACTTTTTCTACTGCTAAATCTGGGAATGCCAAATTGGATCCACAGGTCACTTACCTGGGTACAAAGCCTTTGTATGTGACTCAGAAAGACAGGTATTTGTTTCTTAATTGTGCACAGAACGAGCTGATTAGTCTGTGGTGGCTAGAGAGCCTCTTCTGTGTGCTCCAAGACTTGGAGAAATGTTCAGTCCTCAGGCAGCAAGGTCTATCAGAGAGATTTCAAGGTGGCCAACGTCTCGGTAGCCAGAAAGGCACATAATGAAGCACGCCAGATGCTAGTTGTCTCCCCTTGCCCTTCTTTTACCCCACAAGGCAGAATGAAGCTGCCGTAGGAACAGGAAGAGGTGCTGTGTTGCCAGGTGGGCCCCTGGGGAGCAATGGAGTGGGAACACATAGGTACCGAACCTGGGAGGCCTGGGAATGTGAGATAGGGCTGAGGAGCTTTTCCTCTCGCTCGTGCTGTATGGGTGGTCCTGGCTGGGTGTTTCAGCCTCTCAGATTATCTCGGGTTTGGCCAGTTGCATGAGTTCCACTTGAGCATGAATAAAGTAATATCGCATTACTTCTGTCAGTAATATAAATACTCCATTACAAATGCACTCTGAGACGGTCCCAACCTGCCTGATGACATCCATTAAGAGGACCTCCCAAACACTTTGGGAGCGCGAACTGTAAATCCCATTCCATTTTGTGCCACAAAAAAGGGCTACACTGGAGACTGAGGAGTTTTTCTCCAAGTAATTGAATTCCCTGAGGAAGGTCAGAACTTTTTCACTAGTGTGCTAGTCATAATGTAGCTTTTCTTTTGTAGCCTTCAGTAGTTAGGGTAACCATGAAAGCTGTATGAAATACTGGTTTTTTTTTAATTCAACTTCTCATGTTAAAATAAATCTGCAAAATTGTAGGAATGGGTGTAAGACTCTTGTCCTAAAGCTAAGTTCATCATGCTGGTCTGTATTCAACTGACCCATTGTGCAGTGGGATCACAGTAGAAAAAAGGCAGGGCACGCTGCCCTCAGCACATGTGTGCACACAGAGACATTGGATAGGGAGTCTGAAATGTCCTCTCAGTGGTCTGACTTTGTAGTTTTTCTCTAGCTGGGAATTTCTTTAGTGGTACGGATGCTGAGTCCCACTTGCCACTAATCCACTGTTGCCCCTGGGGTAACACTGTAAAACACTGCAGGGCTTGGGGCAAGTCCCATTTTTTTTATTCATTTGGTTTCTGTGTTTTGGCAATTGCCATGATGCAGAGGGGTTTAGTTTGAGGCCAGTGATCTGCTGTCTCTACTCATGCATCTAGTTTGTCATGTGCATTGTCTCTGTACCGGTGTTTAATTAATAATTGTCCAGTTGACTAAGAAGCACTAAAGCAGCAGCAAAAAGAGCAGTGATTTTCTTTGTCTTCTCTACCACTAGAAATAATTTTCTGTCTATCTGTATGATTTTTGATAAACTGAAAGTTTAAAAAACACAGTCCCATAGTGAGATTAGTAATTTCCTATTTGAACTTCAGCCTTGTCTGATGTGTGAAATAAAGAATTACATTCTATCTTAAAGACAGGTATTTCATCATACTTAACTAGGTTAATTTTAGCCTGATTTACTGACAGATACTTGTCTCAACTGTAGCTTGTGGCAGAGAGAGAACAGGCTGTACTCTACAAGCTGACCTTTTGAAAAGGTATAGCAAATAGTCATTTGAGGGAGGAGTGGTTGCTATCTTAGGGGTAATCTAGAAAAAATGAGATTTCTGCCCTCCTGACCCAAACTTGTTGCTTGGTGTGAGTTGGCTGAAGTTTGCTATTAGCTTTCCTTCACTTCATTTAATTTCCCAGTTATCTCCCTATGACAATGAGCAATAGGTACCAAAGAAGAAGAGTTCTCTTTCTGGTCTAGTTAAGTTGAACTGGAACAAGGATGCAGGAGAAAAAAAAAAAAAAAACAAAAACCTACAGCCAGGTAGGCTGTAGTACCTGGCTGTACAGCCAGGTAGGCTGGCAGGTGGGGAAGACACCTCTGCAAATAAAGGGTTAGTGCAACGTATCATTGCAGTCAACTACCTGCTCTCTCATGACTGTGGAATTGGCTGTGTTTATGCCAGTGCAATCAGGATATCCCTCAGAGCCGCACTGTTGATCTGACTGAAGTAAAGTCCCAGAAAATGTCCATAATGATTTCTTGAGGACTTTTCTTCCACCTGCAGTAAGAAGAAGAAATGCTTTCTTTTTTCAGCATCTGCAGTACACAGTACCAGATATTAGGCTGAAAGAGCAGCTGTAAAAGTTTGGCTTCTGCTTGAGAAGTGGTTTTATCTGGAATAACCTTTAATACTTTACACAGAATTAGTGGTTACTTAGCTGAACTGGACTCTCTGAAACCTTATTGCTGATCATGCTGTTCAAACACAGCTGCGACGGCCAAAGAGCCCTTCACTTCCAAACTGGCATTTGTGTTTGCATGCATATCTTTTTCTCTTTAATTGCTACACCTATTAAAAAGCTATCATTTCAGGGCAGTAAAAAAAGAAGATTTTGCTTTTACTGGATGAACCTGAAGCTAGGCATTCAGGGACAAGACTTGGAGCTGAGCTGCTGTGGTCCCCTTCTGTAAGGAGAAAATTGCAGATTGAATGGTGTATCTGATCTAATGCAGCCACTGCATTCCTCTCGCTGGTCCTCAGCTGGACTTTTGACTGAATTCTGCAGCAAGCAAACATGCAGCTGTCTGTTACACACATAAATACATGCACACATGTGCACGCTCGTATGTGCATGCTTTCTCTCTCTCTCTTAATATGATTGTAACTTTAAAAAGTGAACACGTTTATCACACTCTCTCTCTTAATATGATAGTAACTTTAAAAAGTGAACAGGTTTATCAGAAGGATTCTTTTTAGCCCTGTTAGTGTGTTTTAATCAAGCAGGAATTGAGAGATGAGATAATGCCTTTGACTCCTTGACAAATTCTAAGCTGTTAGTGTTCAGTTGAATCGCTTTTGTAATGGTTTTTGTGATTTATTCTGTTTTAATTAATTTCTGTCTGCTTTAAACCTAAGTTTCATGTTTTCACAGGCCTATTTTCGGACAGTAGAACTTGTTCAGGAGCCTATTCCTGGCTCACCAGGTCTAAGTTTCTACTTTAGAATCAATGGCCGACCCATTTTCATCAAGGGCTCGAACTGGATTCCAGCAGATTCTTTCCAGGACAGAGTGACCTATGACACGTAAGCCATGTTTGATGTTCTCTAAGGAGAAAGGATCATGTTTTCCTCCTTTCCTGCTCCTTACTCTCTATCCACCCTCTATCAAAGGGTGGCACTGGGAGGTGGAACTCCTTTCAAGGTAGGACGCTAATTGTTGTGGGTTGGAGGCCTTAGAATTAGGGCTTAATTAAGAGATTTGAATGATGTTCAAGGCATGTAAGTGCAGTAACTGGTGGGAAGGTGGTGGTTTGCTGTTGACAGGTTACTGGCCTTTTGGGTATTTTTAGTAATGATCCTCAGGCTGTGTGATCCTATTGCCTGGGACACATTCATTGGTATCTGGAGAAAGTGCAGTTCAGCCATGCCATATCCCATCTTGTGTAGGGAGACATAAGAGCATAATAGCCTCTCTCCCTTTTTCCCTCTCTGGTCCAGGCTTCTTGGATTTTGATGACACAACACCCCAGGAGGTGCAGGTGGGATGGGGGCCACGCTGTACTTTGACAAAAGTTTGCTCTGGATAGCTGGGGAACTGAGACAACAGGGCGTGCTGCAGTGTGCATTCACGTGCAATTTAGAGGCTGACGGCGTGATTAAGGAAAAATTAATGGATCCTGAATCCCTTAAAATGAGATTCAGAGTCTCAGTCTTTCTCCTCCCCCTCTCACTCACACCCCCTTCTCACTATGCATTGTGGAACTCAGGAAGAGAATATAGATCTCTGAATGTCTTTAAAAGAGGATTTGAACTCAAGTGATTGGTATTTAAAGCAAGTAATATCTAAGGAGAAAAGAGCAACCTGATTAATAAAATATAGTATTTCTAAATCTGGTCCTGCCAATACTTCTGTAAAAGCACTTACTCGTATGTGTCACTCCATACATTTCATAACTGTTAACAGGACCAAGTAACTTTTTCTGCACAAAAAATTGCTTTTTGAGAGCTCTGTCCAGACATGCAGGCTTAGAAGGTATCAAAATAGTCTGGTTTCTATCAGAGTTGTAAGTCTTAGATTGCCTGCTAATGGTGAATGTTTGGGGGTTTTTTTGGTATAACTTTAGAAACTCCTAAGTGATACAGTTTCACAAAGCTTGGATAAATGTTCTTTTTGTATTTGACAGATTATGGCTACTCTTGAAGTCTGCAGCAGATGCTAACATGAATGCACTTCGAGTTTGGGGAGGAGGAGTATATGAACAAGATGAATTTTATGATATTTGCGATGAACTAGGAATAATGGTAAAAACAATAAACACAGAACACTTATTTAAAAACTGACAAGAACTTGTAAATAAAAATCCACTCTAAATGAACAAAATAAGAGAATTAATATGTAAGTTCTAGCCGTCTTTCCAAAGTACGTGGTAGAGTACCAACCTGAGAAGTCAGATCAACCTGATTTTTTTTTGTTTGTTTGTTTTAAATTTCTTTTTAAGTTGAATGGTTCCTACTTACTGAGGCTGTCTGTTGAAACAGGAAGTGATATTTTGGAGACTTTATATTAGAACCCCAGCTTGTATTTTCTCTTGTAACTAAGGCTACAACTCTGTTCCTCACTCATCCCCGCTTCCCTTCCCAGCCCAGAATCTCCCCTTCATCTCCCCTTCCTTTTCTCCTCACTGTCTTCCCTGCCCCCCGCTATTTCCAAAAATCAGAGCAACAGGACTGTGGCTTTAACTTTCTGTCTTCTAGCTCTTTTCAGACCAAAACTCTATCTTCATATACTGTACCTCTCTCCCAGTTCTACATTTCCTACTCTCTTGGGAAAGAATGAGAGAAGAGATGAATGGCTGAGGGACTGGTAGTAGTGATGTCACTTAATGCAGGGAGATGTTTACATTGTCATGGTGAGCACGATAGAAGAACTTTTGTGGACTGCAGGTATAGAAAGGGACTTGCAACACTCAGTCAAATAGTTGTGAAACAAGTAGTGCATGGGAGGAGGGTTATTCACAAGATCAAATAATATTTTTTCCACAGCAGCCAGACTGTGGGGCCCTCACTCATGTGAGAATAGCCCTGCTGAAGAATCCGAGTGCTTGACTATATGCTCCAGATTGAGAGCAAAGGCCTTGCAGTCTGACCTCAATGAGGATTTAAGGTCTGCTGTATTTGAGTTTTGTGCTTTCAGCCACCTCCGAGTTAGCAAAACACCAAAGAAGGTAGTCATGCTTTTCTCTGCTGTGGAAATGGATTTTATTTCTTTTAAAGGTATTTTAGCAGTAGCTGAAAAGGTTTGGGGTTTTTTGGTTCAAACTTTTTAAACAAAAATATTTCATTTGGCCTGAAGCCAAGCATGGAGGGCCTTATCCAAAGGGCCATTTTGGACAAGCTATAATTGAGTATAAATATAGCTGTTAGGGGAACACCTGCTGCAAACACTGATAATCTGAGATGAGTACCTTTGATTGTGTGAGCTTGGAGGCACATGTTAATAAGTTTTGATGAAATAGTCACTAGATGAGTGAAGGTCAAGTTGCATCTGGTATTAAAATCCCAAGAAGTGTGTTTGGTCTTACTCTACAGCATAAAAAGCAGGGAAACAGAATTGATACCTTGCTGCCTTCTGCTGTGTGTGCTTGGGGAAAAAAAAAAAAATGTTACATCTATTTTAGTCATCTGAATGAGTGCCCTGATTTTCAGGGCTTCTGAGCACTTACAGTTCTTTCATTTTTGACACTAGGCACCTAAGTAGGCCGCTTAGATCTGTGCCTGTACAGTGCTCAATGCAAGATTTAGATCTTATTTAGCAGCCAAAATAGCAAGTAGATGCAGAAAATCAGACCCTTATTCTGGAGGGGATGATGCTGGAGGCTTTTGGTTTTGTTTCTTCTGATGGTCTTGCAAAGGCTTAAAAATGCATTAGAGTCAAACTGTGCTTAAGGAAAAACAGCTATAGCTCACTGAGGGAAATAGCGAGAGAAAGTTTCTTTCAATAGAGAGTTTTGACTCTACACAGTCACTGAAGGATTCTGAGTGATTCTTCAGCAATAGCTTTGCTTTTTTTGTACAGTGCTAGGAGTGTAACAGTTATTAATGGATCCATTGCCTCCCACTGTCCTATCCCCAATCTTCAGTTTTCTTAGGGAGTGTACGCTGAAAAGAGTCATGGAAAAGCATGTTCTCACTGCAAGCGAAATGCAATTGTATGAGACGGTCTGGCACTCTCTATTGTTTCTGTAGTATGGTATTCAGAAAAGTGTAGTCTCCTACAGACTCCTTTGGGTTAATGTGCTCCTTCAAGAGATCTTTCCATTAACATTGGAGATAGACTATCAGGAGTCTAAAAGTTGCAGCAATTTAAGAAATAGAACAGGTAGAACAAGAAATCTTACCCATCTCATTGGGCTTCTTCCTTTCCCCTTTTTTGTAATTCTTCTCCTTCAAGGTACAAATGGAGTTCATTGTTGAATTGAAAGGCTTGCTGTTCTCTAGTGGTATCTACTTGATCTTTCTTTGAAGAGAAAGATCGCTGTATTATTAGAGGACCTAGGTTTTCTTCTGCCCCTCTTACTGGGTAAGATTTGCTCTTTATAAGATCAGTTTGCACATTTGGTATGGAAGTGTTTTGTTAACAAGTACACTTGAACATCTGTTAAGTGTGCTTGATACCACATCAGAAGAATTATTGTCTCTTTTTAATAAGTAATGGGGATTTGGTGTTACACCTGCAAAGTCATAAATACAAAATTGTTCTGTTCAGCTGGAGATTGCCTCACATGCACATTTGAGCAGTGCATGGGTTCTAATTGTTCCATTGAAGCATATTGAACTCCATCTACTGAGCAATATTCCACTCGTCAGTGAAGGCTGTCAGGATCTGATTCCTAAGGGTAAATATTTTGTAATTCTGATATTGAGGAAAACCACAGTAGAGTATGCACGTACTGAACTCCATGGAGGATGTGATTGTTTTGGTGGTACTTTGCAAGAATAACAAATAGAACATTTCAGTTTAATTCTTTTTGAGATAGATAACTTCTGTCTGAGCAAAGGATTGTGCATTCCAATAACCATGTATTTTTCAAGTATGTAAAATCATTTGCTAACAGATGGGTTTTCTTGTTTTTTCTTTACTTTCTCCTGTAGATTTGGCAGGATTTTATGTTTGCATGTGCGCTATATCCAACCGACCAGAATTATTTAGAATCTGTAAGAGCAGAAGTTTCTCATCAGGTATTTTGCCCATGTGTCAAAGCTCTATTTCCCATTACCTATTTTTGATTGACTGACTGTATAAGTTAGCTTTCCAAAAATGCTTATTTGGAAGTGTTTGTTAGTGTTCCTTTATGTAGCAGACACAAAATATAACCTTGCTAAATCCTCTTTAACTTACTTGCAGGAGTAGTCAGTCAAGCAGAGGTACAGGCCTTCCTCATGTCCGAAATGCCCTCTTCTCAAGGATGTTTAAGAGCATTCACTGAGTGTGAGCTCTAATGATTGCAACATGCCTTAGCACAGAATTTACCCTTCACATGTGGCTGAGTAGATGAGGATGGAGGTACACATGTGCATATGGTGGATATATGTCAGCATATTAAAAGTTTGCCCCTCTGTAAGTGTGTTACAAAAGTTTGAGCCTGGCGGAGAGCTGAGGGAATAGTGAACAGTGCTGATAAAAACAGGAATTGTAGGCTCAACATATGTAATATGCGTGTGGACTTGCAATTCAAATAGTAATAAAGTAATTTTATTAATTGTTATTTATTTTTAGGAGAAGTAATTTGCTTGACTTCTGAAACTCTAAGTTGTATTTCAGGTAAGGCGTTTAAAATCCCATCCATCAATTATTCTGTGGAGTGGCAACAATGAAAATGAAGCAGCAATTGCAAGCAATTGGTTTTCCATACCTTATGCTGACAGAGAAGTCTATATCAAAGACTACGTGACGCTTTATGTGAAGAACATCCGAGAAGTAGTTCTTACTGTAAGTGATATCAAGAAACTGTAGGGGGATATGGCTTGGCAAAAGGTTTTAATGTTTGCAATTTGAGCAACTTGGGATTTCTTTTTTTCCTTTCCTTTTCTTTCTTTTCTCTTCTTTTTTCATTTCCCAAAAGGATTTAAAAAATAGCACGTTATTGAGGAATTGCACTTTCCAAGCTCTTGTAAACAGCTTTCTAAACTCAAGGGTTATCCTCAAAGTAAAACAAACCAAAAAATTACTTACATCTTTAACACTTTGTGATATGTAAAGGAAGACCTGAAAATGTAGTGGATCTTGCTTCTTTTTTCCTTCCTATTTTTAATACCTCCACAAACACCTTTATGTCCAGTCAAAAATCAGCTTGCTCATTGATTAATTAATCTAGATAATCAGATTTCCTTTATCCTGATTTTGTTGAAGGATACTGTAAGAAGGATTTAACAACCCTCAGGCCTTTTAATAGCAGTTGAAGAAATCCATAAAGATGTTATTTCTTCAGTGTGCTCTTCCAGTATGTTACTTAAGTTTTTTGGCTTAAGCAGGTTTAAAAAAAAAAAAAAAAGCTATGCTAAACATTGTCCTCATGCTGTGTAGTCATTATATTGTGTGTTTTTTGAAAAACAGACTAATGGTATTTTACAGTATACGAAGGCAAAATAAAATGTTTTGAGATAAGACTCAAACTGTGAGCATGCAGATCAGAAGCACCTGGAATCCGTGATGAAGTCTACTGTGATTTGGCACTAGCCATTTTGCACAGCTTTTGTAGTTTTGTTTCTCCTCCTAGTATTGCAGTTCTTCATTATTTAGTGGAATCTGCTTTTAACTAACTTCTATGTGTGTACATAGAGTGAAATTGATGTAAAGTCCCAAACTGATGTCACATAACTGTGTAGGGATTAACAAACAATGCTTGAACCACAGGTGAGTGTGCTAAACTCCGATGTTAGCTAAGAGACAAAATGTTGCAAGAGTTTTGTCCAGTTAGAACTTCCTTCTTCAGTATATATATAAAAATCAGAGTATGATTTTTTTGTTAACCGAAAAATGTCTAGTGGTCTTTTCCTACCCAGTTATCCCTTGTATAGTGTGATCTTACTGACTTCAGGGTGTGATAATTTTAGTCTAATCTCTGTCCGTTTCAGGATGAGATACATTTCACATTACGAGGCTCATGACCTGCAGTTTCCCTTTGCTAAGACAGGTACTAAGTATGTAGGTGACAGCAATATTATTGCTTGTAATTGGAGGCTACTGGCATTGTCAGAGTAGTTGTACTCTGAGAATTTAGAATACCTTTCTACTGGAAAAGCTGAGATGTGAGGTTACAATAAAAATTAGGCCAGGTTTGAAAGAACCTGCTGAAAAGGTCCCAGTCTTGAGGGCAGTTAGGCATTCTAAATGGTAATGGTGTCTTATATTCCTGCTTAACATCTTGATTCAGATTTCTGTATTTCAGTTAGGTTTTTTTGGAACTGAGTTGTTTGTAAAGGTATGCTGTGATGTTTCTGTGATTAGCTACATGAGTTGGATGGTCAGTGCATGTGCAGCAAAGTGAGGTGTTCTGGTTTGATACCGTTTTTTAGTTACAGTTCACTTGTGCAGCGTTGCTGTCCAAGATGGACCCGCTTTTATTTTAAACCCATAGAATAAGTATTTTGAGTGCCAGAAGGAACCATACAGTGAAATAATTTCAGGTCCTGTGTAGCACAAGCCAGGTGAGGAAACCTGTAACTACTAGCAGTACTGGACTGTGTAACTTAAGAAGACTTGTAAGTTTGAGGCAAGACTTAGGGAATCCAGGATATCCTGTAGTAAATTGTTTCAGTTAATTATTAATTATTCATATTAAAAAAAAAAAAAAAGACAGGGTAACAGGACTATTTCTTAAAATGAAGCACATTTTGCTGTATTGGAGCCAATTGCGGTAACTTGTGACTGCTAACTAACTCAGGCCTCTATCTTACTACAAGCAAGGTGCTAAATGAATTATACCTGCAAAAGGATTCCTTCAGTACTTTGTAGGGTACTGCTAAAAGATTTATTATACTAAATCTACTGAGGCTATAAATAAAGGCAGGTCTGAACAACTTGAAATGTAACTTCTTATAGTCTCATCTATCTTAACATGCAGAGCCAGCCAAAATGACAATAACCTGCAATGCTACCATGCAAGCATTAGTAGCAGAATACCTTGGCTCTGTTAGGACTAAATTTAGATGACTACTTAATAAGAAAGGGGAAAATCATGGCCTTGTTCCTGCAAAAACACTGCAAAAGTAATGATTTTCCATAAAGAAGTCATAGTACGCAAAATATTAATGTTCCTTGAGTTTATTTTTCACGAGGCACGCTTTAAATAGCTTTCATTAAGAATTTAGAAGCATATAAAGATAGAAAATCTCTTGATGTGAGGAAAGAATCCATTAGAACAGCAGAGCAAGCAATATCATGCCCAGCTGTCCTCCAAGAACATAAATAAGAAGCTAATTAAGCAAGTAATGATGATGAATGTCAGGACACAAAGGGGAATGTTTCCTAGGTAGTGACTCAGAAATTTGGAAAAGGCATGTTCTTTTTTTTCCCCCCCCCCCCCCCCCCCGCCTGCCTTTTCAAAATATGGTCTATGTATTCAGATGAAAAAAACAATCATTTTGTGAGGGGTTTGTGGTTTTGGTTTTGTTTGTGTTTTTTTTTTTTAAATCCCAGGAAGATGAGAGTCGTCCTTTCATTGCATCCAGTCCCACCAATGGCTTGGAGTCAGTTAAAGAAGGTTGGCTCTCCCAGAACCCTTATGATACCCGTTATGGTGACACTCACTTTTATGACTACAGCAATGACTGCTGGAACTGGACAGTGTATCCTAAAACTCGTTTTGCTTCAGAATATGGATTTCAATCCTGGCCTTCCTTCAGTACAATTGAAAAGGTAAGGCTGGGCTTCCACACCTAACTGTCCCTTCTGCTCTCATTTAGCAAGGGCAATGTGTCTCTTCCCAACTACAGCATCTGAACTGTAGTTGAGATAATACATTGTTCGGTGTGGTATGGCACAGGTGGGATAGAGGTGCAGACTGGTGTGGAGGGAGGGGATGAAACTGGACTGTTTCCCTCCTCAGTGTTCAATATATTTACCTTGATGTTGCAAGAAGAGCCAAGTTTAGATGAGAGACTATTATGAGACTTAATTTTAATAGTAATTCTGTTTAATATATAGCTTAGTAATGATTGCCGAACATCTGTTTCCTTTTGCTGTGTCTAAGGATATGTGTTCATTTAGAAACAGAAGAAACACGACAAATGCTGAATTGTGCTTAATTCTAAAATGTATTGATTTTTATTATTTTTACCAATTTTTTACTTAAATAATTTGTTTCTTTATGTGTTGCATGTAAGAGGATTTGGTTTTGTCTCCTGTTTAGATATTGTATATTCTATCTTATTTATTCAGTTGGAGCAGAGGCATATCATGCTGTTTGTCCGTTTGTTCAGAGAGAGATGAATATCATGTTGATACGCATGTTTGCAACTAAAAGGAGTTCAGAATGTTCCTTTCAATTTGCTGGGCAAAGTATATTATCTGAAACATAATCAGCACATTCATCCATATTAATAACAATGAAAATTATTCAATCCAGCCTAAAAAGGAACAAATTTAAATAAAAAGATTTTATAGAGATTGCAATTACAATGAAAGCTTGACGATAATAACAATATAAGCTATGCTTACATTGTTGTCCTTAGTTGGGGAAAAAAAAAAAGTTTCATGATCATTTGTTTTCAGAGGCAGGTTTTGAAAATATACACGTTAGAATTTATAGCCCTACTAACTTCTGTAACTTTTGTGCCTAAATGTGTTTGACTAGAGTAGATTCTTCCATCTTAATCTAGGGTGTTTCTGATTAACTGTGAATGCAAGCAAACCTCTGAGGTCTCTTGGCCAAACTGAACCTTAGGATAAATAAGTTAAATGACATTGAGCCAAAAGTTGGTCTTCTGGGTTCAACAGCAATGTCTGTTTTTATTTATTTATACAAGAAGTACAAGCAAAGGGTGTTATTGATTCAAAATCCTTGCATGACTTCATGAAGCACTATAGAAATATACTACCAATTTTAAAGGTTTTGGATGAAGTCAGCAGTCTGTAATGGATATCCTTTCCTGAATATCCTGTCAGTCATTAAATGCACGTTTTGCCTTTCCATTTGGATCTTTTTTGTGTTTTTTAAAAGGTTTCCTCCACTGAGGACTGGTCCTACACAAGCAATTTTTCTCTCCATCGACAACACCATGAAAATGGCAATGATCAGATGCTTCAACAGATCGGGCATCATTTCAAGCTTCCCCAGAGCATAGATCCCATAAAGAAGTTCAAAGATATGATTTACCTCACTCAGGTAACAGTGGTGTCTTCAATATAAGTAGCTGTCAATACTTGTTCCATTAGATACTGTCAGCAGTTAAAACTGGGCCTATTCTGTTAGGTAATGTTCAGTCACACAGGAAGCTTATGCACTGAAGCATTGGAAAATCCAGTTTAATTTGGAACTGGCTTGTCTCTTGTTTATTGGAGAGGGACTCCAATTTTCATCATAGAAGGGCTGGAATACTCCTCGGGGAATTTCCCAGAAACTGGCTCAACTGGGAGAAAGTCTGGCTGCGTGTGCTACCTTGGTCCCTGTCCCCATGTGGGCCCACTCATGAAGCTGGCTGGGAACGCAGGGATGTGCTGGCCTTCCTTGGTCTGTGATTATTCCTAGTTGCTACGCTGTTACTCCCTGTTCCAGGGTAGGTATGTTTAGCTCTTCATGTGGCTCCTGTAGGCTTACTGCTTTGATTTTTGCCACAAGGAATACATGAGCTTTTGAAACAAGATTGTTTCTAGAGAATGCAATTCTCTATGAATGAGATCATTAGTAGCTTTTATTTTGTTATGGACTCAGATATTTTAGAGAATCTGTTTTGGTTGGTGGGTTTTTTTTTTCATATCAGTAGGTTATATTTTGCTTTTCATCTGTAGTAGTTTACCTCATGCTTGTTTCTTTCTTAATGATTTCTGTGACTTTTAAATGATGTTAAGTAACTTTTTAACACTATTAGGCAAGTTTAAAGTGCAGCTACTTTTTGCTGTGTTCCAAGAATTTCAGAAACACTCTTGATGGGAATAACTGCACATTCAGTACGTTTTTAATGTTTGAGAGCTGCTGTCAGCAAGTTTTATATAAAAACAAAACAGCTGGAGAACGTTAGGCACTGATGACAAGAGAACAAGGATAGATGATGCTGTGAAATTGAAAACGGGTAAAACTTGCGCAGTGAGGTCCTGACTCAAAAAGCTATGAGAGTTTCTGCAGGGTTAAGTCTCTCAGGACCTTATTAACAGGTCAAACAATTTAAGAATACCAAAATAAGGATAGAAAAAAGGATAAGGAGAGTAAACTTGGCTCTAGTGGTTAGCTAGAAGTGTTATCTTTACCTTTTGAGCTGTCCTAAAGAATAACTTCCTCCTTTATTTTGAGATTTTTCTTTTAATAGCTCCCCAGCCTAGTAATATACTTTGTGAAGAAAATAACAAGCTCTTTGGCTTCTGTTGAGAACTTGGCCAATGAAAAGTTCTGAAATGTGTTTTTTAAAGACAAGGTGGAGAAGGAGCGAAGAAGTGGGAGTGCAGGTGAAAAAAGGTTGCTCTTTCGGTGCACAATTTTGACTGTATACTGGGAATGTGTGTTGTGTGTTCAGAGTATAGGGATATGGACATCATGGTAATGTATACTGGAGATAGTGCAGCATGACGTCATTTTGCAACTCTGCATTTTTTATTTACATTAATTTTAAAAAATATTTATTTTAAACTTATTTTTCTTTCCCTTGTCTTCCATTTGCCTTTCAAATACCCTGTTGCCCAGTGATCTTCACTGGATGGAAGGCAGGAAGTCGCCCCTTGAGAGTTTCTCTAAAGGTACTGCTTGTAAAGCTGTTGGGAGCTGCTAGGAATAGGTCTCCTTCAAGCAGATGCCCACTGCGCTGCAGGTGTATACTCTTGAAGGCTCAAGTTTAAAGTTATGCGCCATTGCTGTGAAGTCTGTGTTGTATGCTAATATATACACACATGCTTTGAAAGTAAAGTAAAATACAAAATACAATACACCAAAAAAAGTCTTTTTTTTTTTTTTATGTGTTTGTTGACCAAGGTGATGCAGGCTCAGTGTATAAAGACAGAAACTGAATTCTATCATTTTAGTCGAAGTGAAATAGTCAAGGGAGAAGGACACACAATGGGAGCTCTGTACTGGCAACTCAATGACATTTGGCAGGCACCTTCATGGGCTTCCTTGGGTAAGTTTTGTGACAGTCCGGTGTCCTGGTTTCAGCTGGGATAGAGTTAATTTTCTTCCTAGTAGCAGGCATAGTCCTGTGTTTTGGATTTAGTAGGAGAATAATGTTGATAACACACTGATGTTTTAGTTGTTGCTGAGTACTGCTTATGCTAGTCAAGGATTTTTCAGCTTCCCATGCTCTGCCAGGTGCACAAGAAAACTGGGAGGGGGCACAGCCAGAATAGTTGATCCAAACTGACCAAAGGGCTATTCCATACCACATGACGTCATGCTCAGTATATAAACAGGTGGGAGCTGGCTGGGGGGAGCAATTGCTACTTGGGAACTGTCTGGGTATCGGTCATCGGCTGGGGGGCGAATGCCTTTGGGTTTCCTTGCCTTTTGTGCATCACTTGCTTTGTATATTATTATTATTATATTGTTGTTATTATCATTATTATTTTACTATTTCAATTATTAAACTGTTCTTATCTCAACCCAGGAGTTTTTCTCACTCTTACTCCTCCGATTCTCTCCCCCATCCCACCAGGGCAGGGGGAGTGAGCAAGCAGCTGCGTGGTGCTTAGCTGCTGGCTGGGGCTAAACCACGCCATCTGGTAAAAAGCACCAACTATGAGTCTTGTTTTGTTTTCCTCATCTGGAAGTATCAGAATAAGAAGTATGGCTCTGCTCTTTCTCTTGGGCAACTTTGCAACTTTGAACACGTTTCTGTCCATTCTTCAGAAATGCGTTCCAGAAAAGTGTTTTTCAGGACCATCCTAACAGTCTGTGAAAGTGGAAGAGGGTAAACAACAAAGCAATTCTTTTCCTATGGAAGTTTTGCTGTTTAAGTTCAGATTTAGCAGCCACCAACTCTTACCCTTGTTTTAGCAAGGTTTAGTTTAGAGAAGTTAAAATCGTATATAACTCCTAATTTCTTAAAAACACATTTTTTCGTTTAAGCAGTATTCTCATTTCTCCCAAGGATGTAATATCATTGAAGCCAGGCAAAGCTGCCTATTAGGAAGCAGTGATGGTTAAGATTGAGGGCACAACCCCCTTGTGAGGTAAACTTTCAACTACCCTTGCTTTTCTTATGTAGAGCTGGATCTTCCTGAAAGTGTGTGTGAGAGATCATCCAGGTTTTTCCCAGAGAAATTTTGCATTTTTTGCAAGTTTAATTCTTTTAAAATTAGAAAGATCAATTCTTTTAAAATTGGAGACCTCTAAGAAATTCTGTTTCCAAAAGGGCCTGTCCTACAAATCCCTGATTGTATTTATTGGCTCATCTGTACAGATGCATGTATGTACCCAGCCACCCTGTGTGAGAATGGACAGAGAAAGGAGCTAGTGGGATAGGAGGGTAAGAAGGAGCACCCATGTGTAATTACACTTTCCATAATTCCAACAAGTTTGGTTGATTTTGTTCCCTCTGCCCCCCATGGTAAAATGATCAAAACCTCTCCCTTCAGTAGGCAGTAGTGCACTGTCAAAAAACCTACAGAACTGCGATCCTGTTCTGAGCAGGATGGGATTTAGTATGTAAAGGCTAGGCATCTTAGATTTCTTCTGTAGTCAGTTGTGGGAGGAGTGGTTATCTGCAGAGTGTGATTCATTGTGTCCTTAGCTGTCTAATATGTGGGATGAATTATCTTCTCCATGCTGAATTTGATTTTCACAGAACTTCATATGACACCTCTCACCCAGCATAGCTTCTGAGAAGCTCTTTATAGGAGAAGATGACTAGATGAGATTTGGTGTCTAACTTAGTGTCAGGTGAGGTGAATCATTCTTTGTGACTAAATCATTCTGCTAATATGCTATTTATGTGCATGATATCTCCTTATAGATTATATACATATATATTTTCCTTTTAGAACACAAAAATGGAGTAATCATACATATAAAGAGATAAGTCACTTAGGCAGTCAGAAGTAAGGGAGGAATGTGTGGTATGAGGGAAGTGGCTGTGTCTCACATTCCGAGGGTTTTGTCTAGACATCATTTTGAAATGGAGAAGCTGTTCTATGGCAGCTGTATAGGATTTGGGTAGATTCTTTTCAATTTTAGTTATTTCTCACATATTCTGTTTTTGAAAAACTTGATTTAAGAATTTCATGTGTGAAGAAATATAAGTGAAATAGAAAAAGCTGAGTTGATGTGAAGTTCTCGATCTGTCCTTAGAAGAAAATGCCATTTGGCCTTGCTGTAGAAAAAATTAGCCCACCCCATCTTCCCCCTCTTTCTCTTGGAGATGTTTGTCCTTCTTCCTTTTTCTTTTTGTTCTTTTTTCTTTTTTTTTTTTTTCCTTTATTCATCCAAGCAAAGTAACTGCAACCAACAAAGGAAAACAAACCAGTAGAAGAAACAGGCTATTTTATTTAAATGTTAAGGCAGCGGTCCAACTATAATGGTCATCATTCTGGACTTTCTAGACTTGTGTTAGGAAATGGAATATCCCAATGTTCATTTTTATGATTCTAGCAATGGCTGAGGCTCTTAGGTTTTAAGTGCCTCAAGAGAAAAAGATGCTTGGAAAAATGTCTCTTTGTAAAGACAGGTGTATTCATAGATGAAGTGATCGTGGAGACCATAAATGTCTTTTTAAGTACAGAGCTGACGTGATTGTAGAAAATGTATCAAATACTTGAATTATTCATATGTTGTTGAAGTTAGTTTACAGAAAAGAAGCTCAGCAGAGATACAGCTGTCCCTTTGTTTTGCTCTATTCCCTCAGTGGAATGAGGAAAGGTTTAATATTCATTTAATTAGGCAGTGTGGTAGAGGGATTTTTGAAATGCTAATGGCTGAAATTATGCAAAACTTCAGAGAAATTAGTTTTATTTGCACTTCAAAAACACGTTTCTGCATCTTGTTAGATGGCACAGTAGTATCACCAATGAGTGCTTCTTATTTAAATCTGTTCTTTCACAGAGAGCCATGGGGCGGCTTACATTATTTCCCGTACAAAGCGGAAGTATTTCCTCATGAAGTGGGGAGGGAAGAAGGTAGCAAATGTTTCTTCTCTTAACTGGCCTATAAGATGTTTGCTTGGGATTGAATGAAAACACAGCACAGCACTCCTGTCATAGCACTTCTGCCTTCAGTTTAGAACTAAATTAGCTTTTACCACAACTGGGGTTTGATTGTTAGCACCTAGTTGCGGAGCCGGTTGTGCCATGTTGAATGCTTTAGCATCTATGCAGTGCGTTTTGGTGAAGAGCGCTGTGATACACATGGCAATTTAGCTCACTCCCACACAAGTGTCACCTTGAGGTACCCAACTGTTGTCATGAGAGTCCCTTGAACAGATAACTGGCTTTTATTGCAGGTTCAATATTTAGAGCCCCTGGTGAGCTGAAACCACAGGCTATTACAGAGAGTAATAGATCTGAATTCATGAGACTGAGGTGAGGAAAGAACTAGCAGCATGTTTCTCAGGTTGCATTTAATGGTGTGAAGTGATTAATTTAATATCTGTTCCAGGGAGAACTGTTTGTTTTCACTCCCGCTATCAGTGTAGAAGGCTTCAGGGAAGAGTCAGAAAAAAGGGTACTGGGGTCTCATTACAAACCTAATTTTAGTTTCCTGTTCTGAAGCACAGGGAGTGCAGACCCCATGTTATTATCAGGAAAAAATTGGGGAGCTTGGATATCTTTAAGAATTCATTCAAATGTGGGGGGAGGAGGAGAAAACCACCCCAGGGCTGCTTTAAATAACTTTTGACTGTTGCCTTTGGGCATACGTGTCTGCAACAGGAAAGTTTAAGCCCAGAGATTTCTCACGATAGCTACCTGATCTCCAGATTTTTTACATCCATTTTTGTGGCAAGGGGAGTATTTTATATGCAACTTGCCTACTGTTAAATCAGGAAAGGTGACACTGGTCTTAAGGAAATCAAGACAACAGATGAGCTGAAGAATGTGGCTTTTTTTATCAGTGAGCTTCAGTTTTCTGTTCTGTCTGAAGTTTGTATTGTCAAGACCCTGTTGCTGGAAAAGTTACCTTTGGAAGAGCCTTCCTGTGTGAAACTGCTCCAGCAGTTGAGCTTTGGTTCTTCAAAATGGCTCTAGTTTTTTGGGGAAGGGAAATATGAACCTTAAAAAGCTGATCCGAGGTAGGCAGACTAGTGATGTTTTCAAACATCCCAAAACAATAGCTGCAGTGGTTGAACCCTAGAATGAGTTTTGAAATGGTACAAACTTTCAAGTGTGTGGTTTGTTTGGTTTTGTTTGTTTGTTTTTTCCCTGCAGAAGTGTAATGCCAAGTTTAGTCTGAGTTGTTTTCTCCACCATACAGGTTTCTTGAGGATCTCTGTATCTGCTGCCTAGGTAGCAAACCTTCTCTCTTTCCTTCCAGTAACCACCGCAGTGTGGTTACATAATCCAGTTGGAAATCAAGGCGCAGCAGAAATTGAGGGTAGGGCCCATTCAAAGAGAAATGGAATTTTATATTACACTAAGTAACAGAAACTGCTCTACGTCAATTGCATTACTCATTTTCCTATTTAAGACAGTTGAAGACTCGATTTTCATCATGTAAATTAAACTGAGGAAAAAATTCAAGTCAGCAGGCACTGAAACACAGCCCATGCTGGGTAACTTGTCTGAGCTCGTGGTGGCCTCTGTCTGAGGCCTGCAGTGAGCAGCATCTATTGCACTGACAATTGAAATTCCTGAGAGTCTTGTGGCAGTCCTGAGGGCTTCAGAGAGTTCAGCCCCTCCCAAAGCCTGAGGTTAGGCGCGGTGCCCATTTCTGACACAAGGCCCATTGCTTTTATTTTTTAGATCAGATGCTGCCCCACAGTTTACTCTGTTTCAGATAATCCATCCCCAATCCAAATCTCTCATCTTCTCAAGTTTCATGACCCTGAGAAGTAATTTGTTAGCACTCCCTGGTTTGGTGGAAGTGTCTTTTAGACCACCAATGTTTTCTGCCAGGAATTGTCCTTGAAATGCAAGAACGTGGCATCGTTCATATGCTGAACAGCACCAATATGCTGAGTATGTTCATCAGTTTATCAACAGTCTGTCTGTTTCGAAGAAACTCAGCAGCCTCTCCTGAAGTTTTCTTTCAGACTTTATCTCTTCGGTTTGCTTCAGTGCTATTAACTTGAATGCCAGTGGTGTTTTGTTGCAGCAGTCTGACCTTACAGCACAGTTGAATCTTGCATGGGTTTTCCAGGCAGATCTGAGGTTTTTTTGTCTGTTCTGCAAGCTAGCTGGTTGTGATCTTGCTGAAAACAAGGTGATGTACAAGGTGCTAAGCTGGAGCTAATGCACTTTGCTCTCCACAGAGTTCATTCATGTCTATGTGGAGTGCAGGCAGAGCATGTTCAGGTCTGCCTGTGAAAGCCACAAACACACCCTTTAAAAACTACATCACTCTGGATGAAGTCCTTAATTATGAGACATTTGAAAGTGCTAAGAGCTTTGTACAAGCACCAAAATGCAGAGAGGTAATTGGTTACAACAAAAACATATTACTGGAAATATTTTTCAGCATCCCACAACTTTAAGCCTGTTGTATAAAACAAAGAGCCAGAAACAAGAATAAAACCAGTATTCAACTTTTCTTTCCTTATGAGATGATGCAGCTGACTTGCTACTTCTTTTTGGTGCCATTTCAATGACTAGATAATGGTTGAGCAAAGACAGAGTTAAAATGCTGACAGTGGGTGCTAGATGGAAAGTTAGTAGAGAAAGAAATGGAAGCAGCTTCTCTTTCAAAATGGTCGTATGGCAGTGTTGCATCTGGCAAAATTGGTTTTTTTTGGAGAGGACACAATGTTTGATGGCTTTTCCAGTTTGTTAATGGCAGACTTTCAAAGTATTAAAAGTAATGAGGTACAGCTTTCCATTAAAGAGGCAAAGCAAACTGATTGGTATAGTTCTGTATACTAACTCCCATAAAGTAAGTGTTGTCTCTAGATCTTGGCAAATTCATTTTGCCTAACTCGGAGTTGCCTTTGGTTTGAGAACTTTTTTTTTTTTGTCTTTGTTGCTATTGATGTTCCTCTAAGGAAGAACTGAAAGTGAAGGACTGAAAAAGGGGAAGAGAGCGCGTTGTATAAGCACCAGAAGTCAGACTTTGTAGTCTCTTCACAGTGGTGGTAGTTTGTGGCAACACCACCAATGCCAGCATGTTTGGATTCTCAACAACATAGAGGCTCCAGCTGCTTGCTTAATGTGTGGTATGCTGTGTCAGTTTTGTTAATGTCGCTTGTGTTTAAGGCTTTCTTTAACTGAATCACAGCATAGCAATGATAGGACCAGCACTTAGAAAATGTGACCTTTTGGTGAAACTCAAAGAAAAGCTTGAAAGAGCATCAAATCCCTTCCAGAGCACAGCCTTGCCTGGAAGAAAACAAGAGTAACTTCAGTCATTCTCTGCACATGATAGAGGTGAAAAGGACAGGGGGGAGGATATTGTACTGCTGTAGCAGGACCGGAGAGCACAGGAAGGGATTGTGTGTGAAGGCAATCTTGGATTCAATCAGAATCTTTCTTCCTTTTAACCCTTTTCAGAGTATGGTGGTAAGTGGAAATTGCTCCATTATTTTGCCCAGAACTTCTTTGCACCACTGCTGCCTGTGGCCTATGAAGACAAAGGCATGTTGTACATTTATGGCGTCTCGGATCTTCATGTGGACCACAAGCTGACTTTAAGGGTACGTGACACCTCTCTCGCCACTCTTGTGTCCCTCCTGCAAAAATGTGAGAAGGTGAAATGAGGACATCTTTGTATAGACAAGCTTCAGCAAGTCCATGCTCAAACACAATGAGGTGCAATTCTTGTCTTTAATCTTCTTAGGGGCAACACTATCCTTTATTATAGTAGTGTGTACTGCTTCACAGAACAGGGAATTAATTGCCTTGCTTATAGCCTGTAGGTATAGGCCTGGAATTAACTATGCTGTTGAAATCTTAAAGGGATTGATGGTTAAATAGAATGAAGTGTGAAAAATGGTACCTCACTACTTAACAAAATTGTTCCCTGGTTATTAGAACTAGGTTAACTGATGAAGTGTGGGGGGGGAAGGATTGTATCATTGCTTGCCAGTACTCAAACCAGACCATTTTGGGAAAAAGAAATAGATTATTTTCTGAAATATCAACAGAACATCTAGGTGTACTTTAATTGCAAGGTCACCTACACAATGTCACCATGATGATACCTTAACTGTTTTCTGATAATGCTATAGAAACTGATAGGATTTCTTAGGCAGTATTTGGGTTGCTGAGTTGTCCTGTAGAACAGTCTTGCTTTTCAGTTTGTTACATTTTGTTGCTGTTAATCATATGGCAACCAGATCCTGAATGAATTTAGGGGCCATTTTGCACTACGAGATACAATTCCTGACATAAAGGGTGTCCCATGTGAAAAGGCTGGGAAGGATGGAAAAATAGATCTAGAGACCTGGAATGGCTCAATAATCATTTTGGAAGTAGTAGTACGAGTATGTCAATTCCTAGTTCCCTGCTCTGTCTGGTGGGCTGCTATGAATTTTCAGATTTATAAGGTTACTTATATATAGTAATCTATAGTATAGAAAATGGTTGCCATTTCTGGATAGTCAGTTCTTAGAGTAGGACTGCACTTCATAAAATTGTTTATTTCTGGCCTGAGTTATTGTAATGGGCTTAAATTCAGATTTTCTGGTAATGTCAGAGAAGCATTGGCAGTAGGGTAGTTCCAGTGAATAATGTATTTCATACTTCAAGAAAATTTGGAACTTAAAACTTTTCAGAGGACTTAAGATCTGTTCCTGACTGCAGACCCCTGTTAAGGTCAAAAATAACCTAAAACGTATGAAGAGATAGAATGCTGTAATTCTCATTAAGTGCCTATCTTCCAAATTATGTGGGGTTTTGTTTGTTTGTTTTTATTTAAGATAAGAGTGCATTCATAATGCATGTGTGATCTCTGGGAATGTATGTTTTACTGTACTAATATAACTTCCGTAATCCCTTTTAAGATGCAGCTTGCTTCTGTTTAATAGTGATTGTGCAGAAGCTCTAGATTACCCAGTTAGGTTACATCAGATAACACTGAGCAATCTCAAGAAAATCCTTTGTTTCACTTTTTTTTTAATTGGGAAGGGGAGGAGAAGAGAGTCAACAGATTAGTCACTCACTAATTCCATTTCCCAGCACTCCCTTGGCAGGAACTGGCAACCCCCTCCTCTCAAGGAGGAGCCTGGAAAAAACAAAAAGCCTTGTGGATCAAGAACAACAACAGATGCAGACTGTTTGAAACTGACTTCTTGTTAGGTTTATATAATAATCTAGTTATTATGCCATATCAATTGTTTAAATCTTTGTGGAATTTTCTTGTTAGGTGGAAATCAGCTGGTACTGTCAGGAGAACATCTCTTGCAATGAGCAATCTGAAACCTAGGATGCTGGGTTATCTTCACAGATGTAACTTTTCTTCTAAGCTTTGTGCTCTCTCAACATGTTTGGTAGGTCATTGTGCATGCCTGGAGTTCTTTGGAGCCAGTATGCACCCTTGCCAAAGACGGTGTGACTGTTAAAGCACAAAGTGCTGTCCCCATCTACAAGGAGTCCATAAATGACTTGCTGGAAAGATGCAGAAATTGTAGCAGGAAAAGCTGCGTTATTACTTTCTGTCTTGTGGGAGAAGGTGGGCTCCAGAGTCCTACGAACCATCACTTCCTTTCATCTCTAAAAGACGCTGTAGGATTAGAAAAGACCCAGCTTACTGTAAGCATCAGTCATGCTAAATTACTCTATTTGGTTTTGCTAATCTTAACTGTTTTGAGTTGTTTGCCTGCTATGCAGTGTCTGATTCCACTGAATGCTATTTCCCCTTAGCTGTTACAATTCTATCTTCCATGTTGAGTTCAAAATTAGATTTTTTTTCTGTGTCACTATATGCATATCTAAATAACACTGGTGGGGTTTGGGGGGTTTTTTGATGTTTTTTTTGTTTGGGTTTTGTTCTGTTTTAAATAATGAAGTCTCAATTTCATTTGTTTTGACTGTCTTTCACCTGACTGCTGCAGCATTGCTCCTTTCATTCTTTTTGTCCCTAGATAGCAAATAGCATCACAGCAAGTGTTTCGGCTTGCAGATAGTACTGTATGACAGTACTAGGTGATGCTAGTTCAGTTGAGTGTGGAGTACATTATTGTCAGCAGTAGTTCCTCTTGAAGTGCTCAAACTCTCAGATCAGTGTACCATTGCTAACATGCAATATTGCATGCTCCTTTCCTCCTTCTGCAAATCCCTGCCCTCCAGCTAAGGGTTCTGATTTGCATGATAGTGGTTATTTCTTAGTATCTGGCAAATGTCTCCGTCTTATGAACAGGCACAAAAAGCATCCATGTTGTATAACACTATCATTTAGTCCATTTGCTGCTTTCCCCTAGATTTCTTCTACTCCTAGCAAGTGTGCTCCATATAGAGAGAGCAAGCATGCACTGTGTGTGTGTACACACATACACACACATTTTGTTAAGCCTCACTTCTTGGCATGTAAATCTTACTGCAAAATTCTTAATCAGCAGATTGGCAGGATGGGGACCTGTGCATTCTCACATTTGGCTTCCAAACTGCAGCTTTGCTCTTTAGAGCTAAACTAAACAAGGGGGGAATAGAGGTCTTTAATCTCTTTGAATCTGGACCAGCATAATTGCTTTACAAAAAGAAAATGGGACAGATTTTCCCCTCTTATCTCTTTCATGGCAGCATGGCCTGCCTCCTGAGTATACAAAGGAAAGAAATCAGCCTGTGCGTGGGTTTTTTTTTTTTTTTTTTTTCAGCTGGTGGCACAATCTGGAGTTGGAGTCATGCTGGGTTTTTTTATGGATGACATCATCAATAATAAAAGCTCTGCAACTGGAGCATCGTTGGGAAATTTCACTCCTTTTTCCCATGGCTGTGTTGTCTCCACAGTACTAACTAATAAGGATAGCTAGCCAGAATAAATGCAGAGTGGTTATTTTAAGAAAGTATGCAGCTGTGACTTAAAAAATTATTATGTTTTGTGAGAAGCTGGTGCTTCTATACATAGTTATTAATAAACTAACTAGACTTTCAAATACATTGCTAATCCTAGCACTACTCTTCACAGCGTTGCTTTTAAAAAGATGAAGACTTTAGTGTTTCTTCAGAAAACACAAAATGTAAAGGATGTGTGCTTTTTCTTAAAAATGAATAGTGTTTTTCTTGTAAGCGGGATGTGATTTCTGCACTTAACGTAATTTGTCACTTTTTATATATAGTTAATTGGTATTTGAAAATGACGTAGGGTATTTCATGATGATGAATGGGGAGTGCTGCATCAAAATGCATCCTGCTTGTGCTTTTAAGCCTCTCTGAGATTAACTACTGATAGAACGTAATATAAAACACTATACCTTGTCCTGATATTTCACAACATAGCTGCCTTCTAAATGTAATATAAGGGCTTCACTGCCATGTTCCATTAGGATGAGGTGACCTCCTGTGTTACGGTGATTTTTACCATCTTTTGCTTCTGTTTGTTTCTGTTACTGATGTAATCAGAAAGGCCAGCTACTTTAGTAGTTGTGAATTTATAGGTTGTGAAGTGTGTTGGTGAAAGGACAAATCTCTTTCACTGCAGTAAGTATAGGATACCAGTACTAGGTACAAGTCAGATTACCATTTATTTGGTTATTTTCATAAGAAGATGGTAGAGTCATAACAATTCATGGCATTTTTCCACAATCTGTAGTATTCTGTAGGAAGGCTATAATAAGATTTGCAGTTTTTGCATGAATCTTACATATGAATCCTGTTGATTGGACCTTTTGTTCCAGAAGAAATTTCCATAAGAGAATAGTAATTGTGGTCAAATGTGGTTGTTCAGTCTGTTTTACTGATATGCAGGTCTTTCCCAGTTTGGGTGGAACTGGGTTCTCATTTAACACATGTATTTTCATTTATTTATTTATTTGTTTGTTTGTTTCTCTTCCAGGCCTCTGTATCCCAACAAGATGACATTTATATATTTGTTCTTCAGACCACTGCAATTGCTCCGTTTGTTTCTCTGGATGTAGGGAGTATAAAAGGCAGATTTAGTGATAATGGTTTCCTCATGACCGAAAAGAAGAAAGTGGTTGCGTTTTATCCTTGGGAACCTACCAGTGTTGAAGAACTAGAAAAGTCACTGACCTTGACCTCTCTGGTGGATGTTGTCTGAGGACACTTTGTTTCCTTCTAGATAAGGAGTGAAACAGGAAGAGGAAAAAATTAGAAGAATTTGACTAAAGTTGAAGTGACCTACGATTTGAGCTGACTGCAGAACAGGCTGTCTATTCCTGTCATGTGTGAATTTTAACTGCTGGTTCAATGTAAAGATATCAACAGCAAACCTTGCATATAATATATGTGGTGCATTGAAAGTAAGGCTTTCTCAGGTAATGGGAAAAATATATCCCATGTATAAAATGGGAAGGGTGAGTTGGTGCAAGAGAGCAGTCTGAGCTCTCCAATTCACATGAGATGAATTAATGGGTTGTGAATTCATCCTAACTAAGAGGCAACAGAAATACGTACCTCCAGACTGTGGTTGTAAAAATCTGTATTTTTTCCAGTTTCACTATGCCGTAAGTGGAAGTTTATCTCGGGATAACGGCAAGGTATGCCGGGAGGAAGGGGCAAGGGTAGGGAGTGAAGCTGGGACTATCTCCACAGGTATGCCCCCACTTGGAGTGGTTTGATCTATCTAGAGTAAAAGCGGGAGAGCGCTAGTCCTACCTTTTCAGATCTGTGGATGTCACTCCATCAGGTGTCCTCCTTGCCTCCTGCACGGTAGGCTTCCAAATACACATGAAACCTGGGCTGTCTAGTCAGACATCAGGCAGATCCGTTCCCCCTTCTGAAAGGGGAATTGAGTATGAGACTTCTTTTCTTCTCTCTTCTCATGCAACATTGAGCAATAACCTTGAGAGCTCCGCATCTAGCTTTGTTTCTTCCCAGGGGGCTGCAGGAGCAGTCACAAACCTTTTGCTGCTGCATGGGATCCTGCATAATGTGGCATAGTACAAGATATGCCTGGCTGTGGGAAAAGGAAGGGGGAGAAGAGTTGACCAAAGGTACAAAGAGAAAGGTGGCAGTACAGAGAAGAAATGGTCATGTGAGAGGACCACAGTTACAAGTGACTCCTTTTTCTCTAGTAGATGCATAGTGCAGGGGCTGCTGTTCTCACTTGGACATTGCTGCACAGCCATTCTGTTACCTCCTGGCATTCTTTTTGAGCATCCCCGTGCTCCACACTGATCTTCCTCTCCTTCCAGAGGAGGAGTTGGCTTAGCTTTGTTTATCAAGCAAATTGTGTCATAATTCCGGGGTTTTTTTTTGGTGGTGGGGTTTGGGTTTGTTTTTTTTTTTTTTCCACCCTTGTGTGTGCGCACGTGACCTTTAAAATACGGACATCAACAAAGGAAAACCTCAACATCTTAATTTTGCTTCTTTGTGTGTGGGTTAGTGAAGACAGTGACTCACAATTAGATCTGGTGGCACACTGAACTCCTTAGTCCATACACAGTAATGGTGCTTCACTTTCTATTCTGTTTCCAAGTAAGTTGTTTTTAAAGTTTAAGTTTCCCGTAGAACTGTCATGTCACTTTGGCATTTGATACAAAGAAAATAAGCTTGCCTTCAGCATGGGAGGGGGCTGCTGTAGCCTGTGGAGCTGAAAGCCTGAGGGTTTGGCTGTCAGGAAATCCAGGCCGCTGAGCTGTGCCATGGGCAGGTTGCTGAACATTGGCCTTATTTGACAGATGTGGTTTGAAATGCAGCTGGGGTCTTGCTGCGGTTCCACAAGGATCCTCTCACAGTCCAAGCAAGCATTAATTTTCTTGCAAAGCACCTAGCAGAATCGGCACTTTTCAGTCAAAGGTGTTTGAACAAGCTCTACTGCTGTCCACCTTTGTAGTAAAAGCACCACATGGATGACGCTTGCTGGGGGTCTGGAGCATGTGTGGGGAGAGTGGCTGCATGTTCCATTGGTCAGATGGAGAACTTGGAATAGGGGGTTGTTTTCTTGCAGCAATCACAGTTTTAATAGGCCAAGAGATGAGCATATTGACTGATGTTCGGAGATCTCTGGTGCTTTTTGAATTGGGCGTTAACCAAAACTGACATACTCCTGAGCAAGAGGAAAAACTTCAAGATGAAAGGGAAATGATAAATGGAAGTTGCTTACAAATGCTTTATTAGGTCACCAAAACAACTAACTGCAGTTGCATAGGAGGGCTTTTCTGATTCAAAACTTGTCCTAGTTGAAAGAAAACATGAAAGCAATCGAAATATGTACGTGTATGTGCCAATGTTTACAGGTTATATCAAATAAGTAGGGAAAATGATAGTCATGAATAAAACCTGACAGTTAGAAAAATGCAGACATTGATAAAGGAATTTAAAAGTTACCTGAGAGGCATTCTGGGCCAACAATAGAATAAAAAAATCCTTCAGTTTTTTCAGTGTGCTGGAATCAAAGTGGAATCAAAGCAGCAAGAGAGTCAGTATAAGGTAAGGATGAAAAAAGGGGGAGAAAATATGGATTAAATATGATTAATAAATATTGCTGCAGTGTATTAGGAAAAGGGCAGGTTGGTTGTTGTCTTTCTCTTGCACAGATATAGAAATGTCTCTTCTAGTAACATCCATGAAGAATTTCAAAATGGCACTTAATAGTGTTAAATAAATAAAACTTTGACAGAATTACTTGTTTCAAAGACAATCAAGAGGACTATCTGAAGGTGGATGATATTTGTTCTTAGCACATCTCAGAATGAGTGACGTTTCAAACATGTAGAAAAGAGCTTTTGGATTGCTAGAAGCCATAAGCCATGAATTTGGATAACTGTGACCTCATTTAGCCTGTCACAAATTTTAGGCAAAATCATGAAAGAAATTATGTATGTGGTACATGATCAATAATTGACAAAGTGGCTATGCAACTAATGCCTATCATCAGCACTGTTATGCAGAAGAGCATTCTTTTGTAAAAGGGATTTTTTTTGCTGTTGCTTTCTGCAGTTACCAGACTGGCATAAAAAAGTTTCAGACAATTTTTTAATTATTGTTCTTGTTGAAGGTCAGAAGCTCCCTGAAGAGTGGGTCCATTCTTTCTTGCTGGAAAGCTTTAAGTCAGCACTAGGTGCTGTTATGAAAGATTAGGAATTGCTTAAGCCAAATGCTTGAGTTCAAAACAGAATTTAATGTGGGAGGTTCACTTCCATTATTGTTGTAATGTCCTTAATGTGTTCTTTTGGTTTCCTGGTGTTGTAGTAGGTATGTATTTATAGATGCTATTTTCTTCTTTCCCCCGTGCAGCAGCAGTTGTAATGTGTACCTTGGTTAACCATTTCCTCTTAGTACTTTTGCTGTTGCATACTGTGCTATATACTTGGTTACTTTGTTCTGCCTTTGTCTCAGATCAGGGCAAGGATAGGAATGCAACAGTGAAGAGATTGTCAGAGTATCTATCCCTTCTACCCACACATCCATCTGTAGCCATCTGTGTGTTGTTGCAGCACCTGTATTGCCAGTTGTATCTGATGGGCTGGGGATCAGCAGCAGGAGCATTAGGAAGAGCATTTGGTAAGTGTCATGGTGCTTGTCCTCAGTGTCATTAAATTATTGGTGGCAATGGTAGAGGGGAATGGCCTCATCAGTATTCTTTGAGGGTGCAGGCTCGCAATGGTTTGTTCAAGGGATCACTGGGTTTGCTTGTGCTGATGGCCTTTGCTTCCCGGCTCCCTCAGGGCTGTTCTCCACACATGGCAAAAGTAGCACTCAGATTTCCCCTCAGCAAGAGCCATGACAAATGCCCTTCCAGAACAGAACTTGAGAGCAGGTTTTGGAAGAAAGCTGTATGGTATTTGCTAATTTGTTGTCCTAGAACTGGTCTCTGGCAGAGATTTGGCTCTGAACCCATTCAGGAGCTGCAGAGACCACGTTGAGCTTTAGAGGGCACCTCTTTTTTGGTACTTTCTGCCACACAAGGAAGGTTTATTTTGCTCCAGTTTACTAAAGCACTTCCTTGGAAGCTCTTCCAAGTTCTTCTACATGTTCTCCAGGAAAACCATGTGAATATATCTAAAGTTTGTCTCTAAGTAAGTGTTCATAGCTCTTTGTCAGTCTTTGTTGTTACCTGCTGTTTGCATACCTTGGGGCTTGGACAATTTTTCTGTCTTACAGGCACATCTTTCTTTGGTCCTTTTACTTCTATTAGTCCCCTTTTGTTTTTGGAGATGCGTAGCAGAGACCACTTCAGTGACCTGTAGCAGTGTCAGGTGCAGTGGAACAGGCCAGTGAGTTTATTATTCTCAGTAAAACACAGTTCAGTTTTGTAGCTTGCAAGCCAGCCTTTATGTTGTCAGAATCACAGTTTTCTTTCTTACCCTCTGAGGGGTAAGTTGAGTCATCCAGGAACTTGCAGTTTGAACGTTTTAAGGACATGTTCCAGTCAAAGAATCGGGTTTACATAATTCTGCTTTCCAGTCAGATGTTACAAGATAGCAAAATGCAAGTCCCCATTTAGTTTAATTAGGGTGGAAAACCAAAACTTAAGTGAAAAATACAGAACCTTAAAATTACTTGGTTTTTGTCCTTGCCAACATTGAGGAAAGGCCATCTTACTGTAGGAAGTAGTGTCGGTCAGTAAAGACCTGTAACTGTCAGTTTTTATCCTTAGTGTGCATTGTAGCCAAAATCGATGTGTCTTTGGTCTAGGCCACTACAGCAAAGGAAACATGCTACAGCATGAAGGGAAACAACGCCCTGAGGACTAGTCAGGAGGAAGGTGGTGAGTCTGGTTGCTTGCCAGGACCTGTTCTTGGGGGTCTGCTTTTGGAAGTTGATCTTGAGATTTCTTGATGGGCTCTGCGAGTGCAAAGTGGTTCAGTACTGCTTTCTTTGCATAGCTTTTTTACTTTGTGGCTGGCTGGGGACCTGGTTGACTCAGAGAGGAATGGCTGTGGTAGAAGGGACGTTACCCTTGCGTATTAGAACCACTGGCCTGTGGGTCAAGCCAGGCTCTGTGGCCCAGTGGGGAGTTGGTTTAATCCGGAACAGGAGCTCTAAATAAGAACGAGTATGGTCTGTCAAGCCGGCGGCCTGGTGGGGAAGCATGGATGCAGGAAGATGCAGGAGCTGAAAGTTTCAATCCTTTTTCATGGTGGTGAAAAAACAAAACCTTAAATGCTGGCCTCTGATACCTCTTTGCAAACATTGTGATAGCCAGGCTTTTACCAGTGTTGCAGCTTAGCTCTCTTCTCGTGTTGTAGCAATCCTCCTTTGCCTGTTGTAAATAAGCTAGATGATAATACTCTGGCATGCTGGCCCTGTGATTGTGTCTTAGCAAGTGATATACCAGGATTTAAGCTTCAGCTCACTTCGCAACAACTGTAAAGGAGCAATGGTATGAGCCAGCCTTCAGGTAGTTTCCTGTGAAAGAATGAGTGGAATGCTTGACCTGTTGTTAGGAGTGCCTCCATGGTAGGGTGGTAGGAAGCTGTGGCTGGGTTGTCCAGCCTGATCACTGGTGGGGAGCTGAGAAGAGTAGAGGAGCTTCCATGAAGCAGCAGGCCCAGTGTTTAGGACACTGACGCGGTTTGTGTATCTAGCCATCTGCTACCCATCCGGAAGTGCTTTGGCCACAGATTTTGGTTTGTACTGTAGCCAAATGTAGAGTTTCTTGCCTGGGATGCTGAAGACAAGATGATACTGAGGTGATTGCACATCTGAAAGAGAAGCGAGACATTAGTCATGCTCCTGTCTTTCCGGCAAACATCATTGTATTAGCTAGCCCGGAGGGCACAATACTACTCTGTGTGTGTGCACAGGAGCGCACGTGTGGGCCGACTCAACTGGAAGTTGGCAAGCACCGCTACAGGCCACAGGTTAACTGATGTTAAGTCAGTCACAAGTGTTTTCCCTTGCAGCGTGTAATGAAGTCCACTGATCTGCTAGTGCTCTTCTGTATAGTGAAAATAGTAAGGGTAAATGGATGGCTGAAAAATTTCTATAGCCGTTGCTTTTAAATGAGTCCACAGGGAAACCTGTACAGGCTTTGAATAATGTACATACTACAGCCTAGCTCTAAGCAGAGCATCAGACTGCTTCATAACCCTGAATACAGAAAAGCAACTCCTAGGTAATTACACCTTGTGTTGTCTTTTGCTTGTACTGTAGCAATCTTTTGAAGCCAGAAAAACTTCATCCCACATATCTGGCAGTTAATCCAGAACTGCTCTACTGTAAGAGAAGATCATGTACTCCAGAAGAGCCAAAAGCTGTGGCTGGTGGGTGAGTATTGACCATTGCACCCTGAGCTAACGAATGGGCACCACCACTCCTGTCACTTAGTTGGAGGGAGCAAGGAGAGTTACTCTTTTTCCTTAAATGTAGGTAAACAGCATCTCACTTGCCCGGAAAAGGGAGAAAAAGCACTTCATACACCACCACATGCAGGTAAGGTTCTTATCCTTTCTGCAGTCCACAAAATCTCAGAATGCTGCCTGGAACTTCCCACTATCAGACTGATCTCCAAGTTTGTAAATACATCCCAAGATGACACCAGAAACTTAGAGCTTTGGCAGCCAATCTAAAATCAAGGGCAGTTTAACTTTCTGAATAATCCTTTTTACATGAAACGTGGAGAAGATCTGTAGTGTTCTGTTGTCACAACTTACTTTTGCTGCATTCCACAAGTTCCTGGCGTTTATTACTGCAGTACAGTAGCAAAATGTAGAAAGCTCCAATGACAGCAAGTGCAGGTTAAGTTTAGAATTCTTTCAGATTTGGGGCCTCACTGTAATTAGTTTAAAATTTAATACTAAACTTGATTGAGGATGCCCAAAGGTTACACCTCGCTACATTCCAGGGAAAAAAGGTTAATTAGATAACCTTTCTTATTTTAATATTGATCCAGTTGAATATTGCAAGTGTTTCCAGAGAAATCTGTGCGGTCACTGTCAAAGAGACAGGAAGTGTGACTAGCACTCACGAGGACAAACCCATGAAATCAGCTTTTAAGGATCAGTTTGAGGTTGTCGGTTGCTGCTTTTTGAGCATACCTCCAGCCTCAGTGCTTTAATTGCTAATGGAAATACGCAGCAGGCTTCCTGCAGTACGATGCAGTGCACTGGAGGAGCCCACTGTGGCGTGGGCCTAGTCGGTACTTCTGTTCATCCAGCCGCAGTGCAGAGATGCCCTGCTCCGAGTAAATAAGAGCTTGATAGCTTGCTGGGGAAGTTCTCCTAAAACTTCTAATGGAAGAAAATTAATTCCAGAAACTCTGTTCATGCACATATCTTAAAAAAAACCCCAACTTATTCCTGACTTTTGAGAATTTAGTGAATAATACCCCTCTCAGTTTTGTTTCCTCAGAGGTAATATGGAATAGAAGGGGGAGATGACACCCTGTGCTACAAGGTGTAGTGAGGCCCACATGCTAACTTACCGTGCTGAATGAAAACATAAGACTGAGTTACACCATTACTACCCTCTTTTTAGCAGTTAAGTGAGAGAGGTTTCTCTCTATAAGCCAGGTGTAGACAGGAGCTCTCAGGCAGTGAATTCCTGGGTTCCTGCAGGACTTTTTTTTAGTTTATTCCATCACACTTGTGAAATAGGAATGGCACTTCCTTTCTGGGCAAAGAGGTGTAAGGACAAATCTGTGCCTGAGGTGAGGAGATATGATGAGGAGGCACATAAATATATGTTGACAGTTACCTGTTAGGAAGAATCCATCTGCTTTAAATGGTTCTGTTAACACTTGTCTGCATGGCTTACACTTTCTCTTGCTAAGCCTGGTTCCTCTGTATGCTGCCGTCATCCTCATACCTGCAAGGAGGCTGACCTTCTCCCAGGTGCCATGTGTGCAAGAATCAGCGTGCCCTGTACAGGATGACCACCTACTAGTAACAAAAAAGGTAAAGCACAAAGAGTAAAGCTGTTGTGGTTTTGCATTTTCTTTTAACTGAGCTGCTTGAGGTAAACACTAGGCTCTCCAGTAGGTTTGCTCTGCCAAATGAGAACTACACAATGCAACACAAATGTCTCCTACTAGATGTCGTGCCGCTTTCTGTAGTGTCCCCTACACTAGCTGGTGGTGTGTTCTACCTCCTACTCTTGCTCAGTTTTGACCAACTGTGTGGCATGCCTGCAACACATACTTAAGAAGCTAAGGGTTAATGCAGATAGGAAAAGTTGTCCTATTATGTGACTCAACCGTAAAAATGTAGCATTCCTGTTTTGAATTAGTGAGAATACTTTTAAATTAATAGCTTTCTATTTCTCAACAAAGAGGGGAAGGGGGGGAAAGAAAGGACCAAAGCCTCTTTTGTTAAATAGACTGAAACTGAGATGCTGCAAGGAAAGAAGCCACCAGACTGCCACTTAAAGCACTTGAATACACAAGGCCTAGGGGAGATGTCCCACTGTTTCTTGCATGGTCACTAACCTGATGAATAGCTATTATGCAGCATTTGGTCATGAAGTGCTTCAGGAAATACAGACCCAGGTGTCTTCTGGTGGTTTAAAAGCAGAGCTGGTCAGAAATAAGGCTAAAAGGTGTGAATCGACAGCCAGGATGCCCTGGTGACCTGCAGGATTGTAGAAACCTTGATTGAAGTCTCTGCCAGCCCCCTGAGCTGTGCTGGAAATTCTGCGGCAGCAGAAGGTGCCTTTGAGTCAGACAACAGCTCTGCTAGGGCTCAAAAAGCTCCTCCACCCCCAGAAGAGGAGAACCTTTGCCTGTTTCTGTTACAGCTGGAATGCAAAGAGAACACTGGACAAGTACATTCACTGAACAAAAATCCATACACCTTTGACACTGCATATGTAGGTTACTATATATAATAACTGAAAAAAAAAAAGGCATTTTTACTATTATGTGTCTTGTTTCTCTGGAAGTAATTAACATCCTCAGTAATTCAGCTGGATATAAAGTTATTTCACAAGTATTTTTTCATTACTCATGTTTAATCCATTACAGCAAATACTGCTCTAAACACAACAGTTCTCAAAGTTTATCTTGATTCATTTTCTCAGGAGTGACACCCAGGTTACTGAACACTGAGCTGAGCCAAGAACGCTACTGTCAATCTCCAGCTTTGTGCCAAGAAAACTGGCTATAGGTGAGCAACAATGGTATCACCCTGCTCATTGCGTTTTCATCATGAAATCTGCTATCTGTATTCTTAGGAGGGCCACCACCTGTAACGGTTACACTCACCATCTCAGAATTAACATGCAACAAGAAGAAATACTGCTTGGGAACGCAGTTAGCAGCGGAGTTTCTAGATAGCCCAAAGAAGAACAGTCTCATCAGAGTTTTGCAGAGATGCTAAATAGTTGGTTTCAGTGTAAATGATTCTCTGCTGCCACAAGTATGAGAAGAGAACTAAAAGAGACCATGAGTTAGAGGCTTTAGTTCCAAAGCACAGCTGCTCAGCAGTAGCTGATGCTCCTGGTCTCCCACCATAAAAGATATTTAAGCTTTGAGACAGGTGGCTTGCAACCCTTTAATAAAGGGGTTGCAACCTATCTATTTTAGTACTTGGAAAACAGCATAATTTTGTATCAATGCCTAAAAATGAAATGATAAATCTTCAATAACTCTACTTGAAAGATATGTAAAAATTACAGCAAGTGTAGACAAGAGATTTCATTTTGGGATTTTATTATAAAAGTAAAATAAAAAATAAGCATTTAAAAAGCACACCTTTTTTTTTTTTTAAAGGAACAGATATAAAAAAAGACTATTTACAAACAGTAAAATGCCAAACTTGAAAAAAATTTTGCATAAGAGACACTAAAGTTAAGTTTAAATACATTATTTGAAATATACAAGATTCTTTTTCTAGGATTGTCTTTTCTGAGTTGTCACTGTTGTGATTAAAGTAATGATTTTTCTTTGCCAGCTATTTTATCAGCCTTTTTCCTGCAACTGTGCTGCAAAAATAGGAAGAGAGCATCTAGAAACTGTATCCTTTGATTGCTCTGTGTGCCTTACCTCTTTTTATTAAGTGAGTCGGTATTATGCATTAGCAACACGTGACTTTCATCTATAAAAGAAAATCCTCGCAAACCAGAAAAGCCCAGTCAGTCACAGTGTCCAGTCCTGTGTATTAATGCGGCAGTAGAGCCCTGGTTATTGTATGTGGCTTGTAAATGAATAAAATTAAATGTACTCGAGGAAGGAAGCAATAGCTAGGAGTCGCATCCTGAAGGCACGGTTGGTTCACTTTCGTGTGTGGTTCCTCCAGCACACTTCTGGTTGTGAATTCACTTCCCTCGGGCCAGGATGACACCGACGTAACTTTAAATGTCATGTTTTTTCCTGTAATTGCATATTGCTAATTGAATATTACTAGTTGGCTATATAATTGTTTTGCACTGAACTTTCATGTCCATAGCCCATGGTCATTTTGCCAAGTGTTACCGATGACTTGCTGTTCAGAGAGTCCGAGTAAGTAAAGCTCAATTTGCGGAAGGAGGTCTCCACACCACTGTCACAAATGCTCTCGTTGTCTTGAAATTTGCTATTATAAAGCTCGCCTGAGGGAGAAAGAAAAGGGAAATATATTATCATTTGTGTTGATTCAGTAACATCGCTTTCAGAAAAGCCTAAGGAATGCAAGCAAATAGGTTAAAGCTCTTCTATCAGAAAATAACTTTAGATATTATAACAGGAAAAGCTGGGCTGCATGTTTTCAGTTGACCAAAGCACGGGATCTAATGCACTGCTGGCAGAGATCAACTGCAGTTGGCACTTGGATGGGATGAGAAGCCGGGTGCTCTGCTGCCACTAACACTGTCACCGCACCAGTCAGGACTCTGCCCAAATGTGGCAGTAGCAGGGCAAAAGGTTCTCTGTTCTCAGATTCCTAGACTCTGTGCGAGTATACAGCTCCAGGATGAGGCTCCTGAAACTTCCTTGTGTTATTTCCCGTACAGATTTCATTTTGAGACAAACACTGAACAGTTTTCATCTAGTAAGTGAGCCTGAAATACAAAGAAGTCAGCAGTAGCTGTCATCTGTGCAAGATCCACAAAAGGAGCGTGTGACTGCATGAGAACCGTATCTGAGTTGAAAGTATGATGTGGGCTCAGCATGACTAGAACAGTGGTCAGCATATTCGGGTTCAGTATTATTTTTCTAAACAACTATCTTAAAATGACGTGATGCAGTCCATTCATGTTGCAAAGCAGCAGAACTCCTCTTACCCTTCAAGATTAATCTAACGAGGCAATATGTGTAACAAGCACATTTTTGCATAGGTGTGAAGGTTCATTCCATGACTGAACAACTAATTTTCTACAGAGAGTAAACTGGCAACGTTAGACCAGGATGGAGTTACTGTGTTGTTTCTTTTTTCTTTCCAGAAATATCTACAGTATTTTCACATAGGGTGTATATTTCCACATTAGGGTGCTGGCAGCGGTACTGGTGTTTGAACAGAACATCAAGAAAGAACAAAGGTTTTTGTTCCTTAACATGGCCAGGCAGTGACTGAACATCCCCGATGACTTACTGCCTCCTCACAACCTCTCGTTTTCTATTAGTAGAGTCCCCTTGCCAAAAACACCGTAGGACCTCCATTGTTGAAGATGCTCCATACTCAACTGGACATGACACAGGCAGCCTCATGTAATGTTACACTGGCCCTGCTCTGAGGAGGCAGTTGGACAGCATGGCTGCTGGAGGTCCCCTGTAAGCTAAACCAACCCCGATTTCTCTGCCTACAGAATGCTGGGCCATTTCGGAGTGCCACACATTGTGGAAGGAGAAATTTAATACCAAAGTCTTCCCGAGAAGTTTAGGAACCCAAAACATTTTTGTTTATTCAAATATGAAGGGGAGCAGCAGGGGGAAAGTTAAAAGGTAATGGCACTTTTACAGGCCTGGGAGATCATTCCCTAGTTTATCTTCTGAAACCTATCCCCAGTGCATCCAAGGAGTTACCATCAGTAAATGGCAGATGTCTGGTTTTAGAGAAGGGAGCCAGTATAATCAATACTGTCATGCTGGGCTACTCATTCAAATGGTCCATTTTTCCCCTCTCTTTAGGCCTAGCAAATGTCTACACCGAGAGAGTCCTACTGCAGTAAAACAGTTCTGAAACAGGTAAGCGTCTTGGGCGTTGTGTGTAAGAAACTATGCAATCTACCAGCAGTCCAAGGGGTAGGGGGAGAATTGAAAAAATGTTTTAAAGCTCTTGGTGATCTGCTGTCAAATTTACCTGTCTCTCCATTTGCAAAGGTGGGTGGTGATGATGACGGAAGAGCTTTTGCTGTACTGTCCTCCTGGTGAGATGGGCTTTGTGAGACGGATAGTGCTTTCTGAATGATTTCAATGGCTTCTGTGTGATCCATCTGTCTCAAAGCAGCGATCAGCTCTTGAACTGTACCACCAGAAACCTAAGAGAGAAGACACCAGATGCTCACCACCGTCCAGGCTAGCTAAAACCAAAGGGCTGCACTGTCTCACCATGCAGGTGGACAACGTTCTCTACACGTCTGTGTGTTCTTTATAACTTGTTATGGCCACGTTACCTCATAGTTATCTAGCAGAGTTTTTGATGGGGAAGGGCTCAACCTGAAGGCATTAGTAAGTATGCCAAGACCCAGTTTTTGTGCTAGAGTGGACCAGTTTTTGTTTGGATCAGGCGCTTCCAATAGTTTGTAAAGTTGTGTCTTGGAACTTTCATTCAGCTCTCTCAAATGGCCTGGGGAACAGAAAAATACGTTAGTTTACGATTTATACAAATCGTGTACCACTTCATTTCTAAGCAGACACAAAGCCAAATTAAAGAGTATTTTAGTGTCCGTCAATCCTAGTGTTTACTCATGTATTGCTGTAATACTGAAAATGTAATCCTCTGTGTCCTTGTGACCCGCCTCTTAACAGAATCATGCTCGTTCTGAGAATGAGTGGGTGGGAGGGTGCCCCTTCTCCCTCCCCATTTCAGTTACAAGCTATTGCAGGGCAGTGTCTTCTGCAAGTACACTTTCAGTACTCAATTACTAGAGGGATATTGTCAAGTCTTCTTTATAGATGTTACCTTGTGTCAGTAAGTCCTCCGAAACCACTGCCGACTCATAGGATTTGCCATTTAATATGTCATACACCTAAGAGAATACATTAAAGTCAATATTTAGCAGAAACCTGGTTAGTGTCTATTATCTTGACAAGCCTCAGTAGTATTGTATAAAGCCCTAATTCCATCTGTAAATTGGCAATTTTTTCTGTCCCAGGATCAGTATGACTAAAGGTACTGTAAGAGACCTGTGCAAAGCCTGAGGGAGAAATCGTGAGAAGTTAATTTCCGTTGCTCTTTAGCTACGTCATCTGGCAACTGTCTTCAAGATACAGAGGAAGTCTTTGTAGTAAGTAAGTAGCAGTAGCAGTGGCTAAGTAAGGAGTTATTGCCTGTCTGCAACCAGTAATTTAAAACAAAGCCTGGGTTAGATTTTCACCTAAGGCTAGGACCATTCCCCAACTCCATGTGGTTAGAGATGCTGACTGCTTGTACCTTACGCTCCTGCCAAACCAACAGCGCATGCTTAGCTACTAAAGCATAGACCGTGCAGCCTAATCACCATTTGGGTAGGACACAAAAGCATATTTTCCCTACGCACAAAGTCTGTGATTCTGAAGAACATGCAGCAAAGAAACCTGCTAGAGTGTCTCACTCTGAACACGGGCCTTCAAACAAGCTGCCCGACCAGCTAAATACTTTTTCCTATTGAAGGCTGTAGCACAACTATTTCAAGAAGTGCCTAGTCATTCCTGTTCAGCAGAAGTAGTCTGTTAAGTGGAGCTTTCTTCCAATCCTATTGCATGGGGTTTTTTTTGTGGCTGAATTAGTTTATTTTTTGATGGCAAATCAGTAGCTTGTCACCACTGAAATAACTGTGGATGCAGTGAGAGGAGTTGGCCAAGAGAGCTGAACTATCATTTATTATTAAAAAAACAAACCACATACCTCACAGTTGGCCGCCATATCTAGTGGTGTCGTTCCAGGCACAATTCCTTCATCGTCATCTTCATCCTCTTTCACATCGTCTAGATCAAACAACGGCTCAAAGTTCTCAACGTGAGGATTTGCACCTGGCAAACAAGTGTGCAAAAAAAATCCTAAGAAAAGGCTTCAAGTTGTTTTTCAACAATATTTAAAATATGTATTCTAAGCTCTGAATGGCAAAGCTGCTAATTTAGCTACTCAAGCTAAATTACATTTTATATTAAGTCAGCTGGCAAATAAATTTATTAACTGAAGTTAAATGCTGTCACATCCCTGCA